CCGCCGTCGGTTCAGTTTTTTTTCACACCAACCGAGAAGACAAGAGTCAAGACACAAGACTCAAAGAGTGCTCCCCGGAAACCTCCACCGGGCACCGGGTCCCCGCCCATGATGCGGTCTTCACGCGCGCCGCCCTACGTATGTTACTTGTTACCTGTTACAGCACCCAATGGAAATAAGGATTCGCGTCGCAACGAGTACCTACTACGTGTGCCTGGTCAGTGAGCAGTGCACACCCGGCCGCAGATCGACTAAAGACCGATTACAGCGGGCCGTGGCACTGCTCCTGCCACTCACTTCTCGCGTCACCTAAGATGCCGCGGGGAGGCGCGCATTCGCCGACATCGATCGTGCAGACGCTACGTCGTACTAAGGTACGTTAGTTGGGCGGGCGGGAACGCGGGCCACGGCCAAGCCCCCTGCCGGCCAGGCGGCGCGTTCGCCTTCCCTCAAAGCTCGTCGTAGAGCCCCGGCCCGTCGTTCGCTCCGTCGTTGCCCGAGGCGCCGTTCGGCTCTCCGGAGTGCTCGGTGGCGGCGGGCGCGCTGCCTCCGATCAGAGCGCAACGCGGCTTCATCCGCATATGGCCAGCCGCCTAGTCACACGCCCCGACCTCGAGGTCTCCCACGATGCTTTCAGCTGCCAACGAGGCGGCGAACTCTCCTTTTGCCGCTTCGCACGCTCGCCCTCCTCGTCCTCGTCCTCGTCGCGCTCGCGCGCCTGGTGTGTGGATTCGGGGAGCTGACACTCGGCGCATCGCGTGGTCTGCGGCCGTTCGAATACAGTCGAATACCGCTGAACATGAATGCTAGAGAGGGACATGCACATGCACGTGCACATGCACATGCACATGTCAATGCACATGCACATGTGCATGTGCATGTGCATGTGCATGTGCATGTGCATGTGCATGTGCATGTGCATGTGCATGTGCATTGACATGTGCATGTGCATGTGCACGTGTTCGCGCGCCTTGGCCTTTGCGTCTGCCACCGACGAGTAGAGGACGCCGCGGGCCTGCGGTTCGGGAGGCCAGGAGCGGATGATGGGGCTGGTTCGGAGCGAGGGAGACGCAGGGGGGGGTGGGGAGGGGGTAGCCACAAGTTCGGACCAGTAAGAGCACAAGCGTCTTGCCTGCGACTTCTTCTCCGGAGCCTGCCGTCCCTCCTCGGCGAGTCCCTGGTCCACGGCCGCCGTTTCACCCGCCGCTT